TATGGGCTGGGCTCCTCATAAGCTGCTTCCGTGGTGATGAACTGACCCCACCGATGCCTCATGGGGGACCAGGTTGCTATCTCTGATTGTGCTTGTCTTTTATTGTTTTGAAAATGCTATATTCACTGAAAATAACATCAAAAATTACAAAAGTTTCATTTATTTATTTTTTTATCTCCATGTTAAGTCATTCCCCCTTCAGAGCATGATCACAACACAATCAGTGCGCATCCCACTAATGATGCATCAGCTTTGTCAAGTTCTTGTGTATAGTTTTGTATCAAGTTTTTTGTATATTTATGGAGAGTTCTCGAGGATTACATAGACTTGTAGCTTGTGCATTGGACAAAATCTTACAGATAACAGTAAGAAGGGTTTAGATAGGGCCTGGGAGAGATCACTAAATTACATAAAAAAAAACATGCATGAATGACATCTTAAAGCTATTTTGCATAATAAGCCATCTTTAACTACTTGGGCTAACCAAGTCCTGTGAAAAACACACACTTTTTTCTTGGAGTGTGAGATCTTTGCACTATATATCTATTTACTCTTTATTCAAATTTGTACTTTGAAACTTGTCTCCATGGAGATTTTATTGCCTTGCGTGGGTTGTCCCTTGGTATGCCATTAATTTCATCTATTCATGAAGACAAGCAGGCAACAATTTACAGGTTAGATCCGTGGAGAGTTGATCCCGCTTACAGCAACAATACATGTTTTTCAAGGCAAGGCATTATTTAACAGTTAAAACAACTGTAACTGAATGAATGAGATAGATTACTTTGAATATTGTGAACATTTTATTATGAGGAAACAGATCAGATCAGAACATAATATGGGTATAGAGTTATATGGGCTCATTAATTCTGAAGAAATACTCGGTTTCTCAGTCCCCTGTGGTATTTTTTCATTTTTCTTCATAAACAGCCATATTTGTTTTGATGCAAAGGGATCATGTGTGTTCCTGGCCCATCTGAACTCTGGGAGATTCAACAGTGACAGTACTGAAGAAGTGTGTATTCTGGACCCCAGGCAATGTTTTATTTATTTTTTTAGTTTTATTTATTTATTTATTATTTTTTTCATTTTTATCAGTTCTTTTCAGAGGCTAGAGCTCATTTGATATGACAGAAGGGAGCTGCTGACCCCAGTGTGGATTTGATAGTCCATATGCTGTTTGAGGAAAGAGGGGGCACTTGACACGATTTGCCGGCATAAATATTCAAGAAGCTTATTGTCAGTGAAGCTGAGAAGTGGGCTTATATTCATGCTATAGTTTGGCAGGGCTGGAAACATGAACTCTTGCCATTTACTATGAGAGGGCATGATTGGTATCTATTTATGTAGTTTTGTTTGATCTAAATCTGCACTTTCCTTGAATTGGCCTTCAATTGGTAGTCCAACAGAAAATCTATGCTACATATAAGGGATGTAATGCGCTGTCTATGCATGTTGGCCTCAGGTGAATGTCAATGACCGCTTGAGTGACTGGAAAATTGAAAATTACCACATGTAAGGGATGTTTCACTTAAGGGTAAGAAAATACCACTCGGATCAATACATTCTTTCAGTAGAGCAAAACTGAAGACCTAGCAGCACATATTGTACTCAGACAACAACACAGATCAACACATTAAACAGCATATGGATAGAAGTCTTCATAGGCCTGTATAATATCAGATCAAATCAAAATTCTAATTTCAGTTAGTGCAATCATCAAATTGCAAATGCTGCAGTTATTCAAATAATAGAATGTTCTCTGCAAAGAACAAAATATTCCTGTGAATCTTGTACCTGTCATTTATACCTCTACAGACATGTTTTGAAATTAATGTGATTCTTGTTCATACATTAGTGCAAGAGTGTCAAACTCAAATTCACAGAGGGACCAAATTAAAAACTGGGACTAAGTCGTAGGACAAACTAAATAGCTCAATGGGTGGCAGTAGCTCAGTTGGTAGAGCGTTCGTCCACTGATCTGAAGGTTGGCGGTTAGAATCCCATTCTTGACATAAACATCATGGGTTGCGAGGTCAGATCACACACACCACAGCTGTCGTTGGGTCTTTGGGCACCTTGTCCCCATTGTCTGTGTACACTGGTGTGTGAGTGTGTGTGTGAATGGGTGAGTGGTTCCTTGTTGTAAAGCTCTTTGAGTGCTTTGAAGGTGGAAAAGCACTATATAAATATTTAAAAAATATTTAACATTGAAAAATGTCAACAAAATCTGCATGTTTTCTTTTCTTTTGAGATATATAATGTTAAACCTTTTATTATTAAAATTATTGTTTAAACCAGAACAAGCATAATATAAAATAATAACAAAATAAAAAAATTAAATAAATAATGTATCTATATCCTATCTGTAGCCGGCGGGCCAGCTCTAATACATATTTGATATGATCTTGCGGGCCAAATATAATTATATCGAGGGCCAAATTTGGTTCCCGGGCCTGAGGCTGACATGTCTGCATTAGTGCACATTTCTGTCTTCTCTCAAACACATATGTAAAATTTACTTTTTTTGAGCTTTTGACCATATTGTCCTCTCATCAAAACATACCTGTAATTTTATTTTTTTATTTAATTCATGATTGTTTCATAAATCCATAAATCCAAAGTTGTTTTCTCTGAGCACTCAAAAATGCTCAGTTCACATTTTGCC